AGTTGAGCTCTAATGACACGTGGTCCGACGAGCCCGACACGCGCCATTGACAAGCGACCATGAGAGGATGAAAAGTGTAGGTGTTTATGTAATAAAATACTGCAAAATGCTTTGTTGATTTATAATTTCGAACTCCAATATTCGTTCTCAAAAGAAAAAAAACTTATTTCTGAGAAAAACCGAAAAAAAGAACAAAAGCAAACATAGGATTTTTTTCTTTCAACTACTCAATTATTCGGACGGTACTTGATCTAGCAAAAATCTTCTATCTGTATCTTTTCAACAGAAAGAATAAATCATTCACGACATGAATATTCTTGTCTTATCATAAATTTCTTTTACGTGACCCCTCACACGTCTATTGGGCGGATCACACTAGGTCTTCGAACATTTCTCGTATTGTTTCACCCGCTGCTTGAGGATTTTGTCTTCTTTATGAATGCCGTCAATTGCTGGTCGCGTCAATTCTCCTTGCAATCTTAGAGATAGCCGTGCTAAGGCATTCCCGCGTGGACTGGATAGGGAAGAGCGTTGGGGGGAGATCGAACTATCGCCTTTATTTCCTTATCGACGGCAGCACTAAACACTGCGCTAACTCAACCTCTGTTATAATCACGATCAGAATAAGAGCCGACTTCATTTATGACGTTATCTGATTATGAGCTGCGCTTAACGACGTTCATTTTCCAAACGACGTGGAATGATTGATAGCATTGTTGTATTAGAAAACGGTCATATCCTTGTTCTGAAATTAAAATGATTCCAAAGGCATACGAATGAAGATTCGCTGATTCTTTTATGAGTAACAAAAAGTTTTCTCAAAAGGAAGCATCAAGAAGAAAATCTTGTGTTGCCATCTGATATCTACCTCTGAATGGCTAGTGAATGTCAATGTTATCAGTTGCACTAGCGCTAATCGTGTCATTCTCTGTTCTCCTTTTTGATGCCCTATCTATTCCTTCCAGCCAGTCATCCATACCATCGTTCTTGCACCACAACGCTTTTTGAAAGTGTTGCTGCATTCCTCGGTTACATCGAATCTATGCTTTGTCTGGTAAATCGCTAAGAAACTTCATGAACAATTCATTTAAGTCGTTGCCATAACAGAGCAATAATTAATATAAATATATTAAAATATGTTTTTATCAATCTAAATAGAATCTGGTGTGTTCTTTTTCCGTTGGAATTTATAGCTTACTTGGACAATTTATCGCTTCGTTCACATTGTTTAAAAGTGAATATTAACATGAAAATACGGTCCTCATAAATTAATAATTATGGTCTGGATTCTAATCATTTACGAGCATATGTGTTATTAGACGTCCAACTATTACATAAACTCGTTTAACTCGTTTTTCTCTTTTCTCTATCGATCAGCTGCCACTTAGCGCCAAGAAGTAGTTACGGCTTAGTGAACGATGAAATGACTCACTAACTATTTTATTATTGTTAGTATAGTCATAAAATTTGTAAGACTCGGTATTTAGAGCGTGAACTGGTGTCTCTATTATGAGCACTCTAAAAACCACCAAACACTGTTTCAAATAAAAAAGTACTAGGGTTAGCAAGGACGCGACGAATGTGAGAAATTTAGTGCTTGGATGAAAAGAAAACTCATAATAGAGAACGTTCACGAACTCTGTGGCACTATAGGCCATGACAATATCAACGTCTCCTAAATATCTCTCTAATGAATGCATTTATTGTGATATACGACAACCTTAAATACAGTCTCCGAGAAGTACAAAACTTACAATATACTACAGTGATTTTGTAGCTGCTGTTTCAAAATATGAGCCTTCAGTGATCGGCATTTATCTATACGCTTCTCGTCCGCTACTGTATTTCTCGTGTTGATTTACTTAGTTCCAACTTGAAAACTGGCTACAAAAGTCACGAAGTTCGGGTATACAACTGCCTTTTAAAGCGCCGCGTCGATTCTGTCTCTTATAAACGTAAACTATTAGTCACAATGTGCTACATCTCGCCTTACAAGAAAGAAAATGTGCTGAACACGATAGGACATATTTCAAATGAGGAACCACAACTAATTATTGTAGCAAAACTTGCAACATTAGAATCACAAGAAGAAGAAAAGAACTACAAATGCTAATAATTGAAATCTACAACTTCGTGCTACATTTTTGGTTTTGGTGGCGTATCATTCCAGTAGCGCTCCATTGTCGGCTATAGCACTGCCAATCATTCGGTGTAATCGTCTGATATGAAATATTTCCTGACATTTCATCAAATAGTTGCGATATCTGTGTAAGTGCTTGACGTTAACGCGAAACACATCATTCGCTACGAAAATGTCTTGTTACAAATGCACTTAAACTGAACACTATGGAATTATGACTGCTGAGGTTTCACTTTAGAATGGATTCCTCGAAATTTTGACTCTTTATGACCTCGCCGATTGACGGGAATCAAAGTATTAAACCATGCTTTTGAGTAACGACATTCCTAAGCGATTTTCTGTTTAATTAACAACTTTCTACATGATTGAACTAACATTCGCGCTTCTTATCAAAGATATCAAAGATTGTCCAGATGGACGAATTTCAACATAGGACGCTAAAATGAGACAGCTGGTAATGTATGTACCTCGTAAACCTGTTCTGATCACGAGATAGTGTGCTCATTGAACCAATGCGTTGTTGACTAGCGATTCGCCTAAGCATAAACTTATTCCACCAGGACCGATTTCCTATTAACCTCGGCATTGATCAATAATTCATTGTTTTCTTGATGAGCAGACACGAGTTTGTTATTACAATGTTCTGTTTCGGTTATGAAAGTATCTAACTGAGTAAATTACGTGCCAACTTGGTCCCTGCAGGTCCTCAAAGAAGTTCAAACTGCCGAAACCCTCAGCTATCCGGAATAAATATTGCAATAATAACCTCGTGGCAACTCGTTAAGAAAACAGTTCATCAACTCATCGATTCGCCATCCTCTTCAATTTTTGATGAAGTTGGTCATCTGCTCGATTTTAATCCAGAAGCCTAAAATTATCAAGGATAGTGCTTCTTACTCTACCTTTCCAGTAGTCAAATGATATTTATTTGTTATCTTGTTATTTTAAATAATATTCAAATGACATTTGCAACGATATCCAGCCAAATAAGACAGCTCCATCTCACTAAGCCTCAAGCCTTTCCGCTTTAACTCAAATTTCAGAAAATTTCAAAAGTGCAATGCCGATTGTGCTCCACAGATCAATCCCGCTGACGGGTGATTGCTGACGACACCGTTAGGTAGAAAACTAGCTAGGAGAAATCCAACGGAAGAGCTTCACTGGTGTAGTATGTAGCAAGTAACCTTCCGGAAAGGGTAATCGAGGTTCGAAACGGAGTGGGAATAAGTTTTGCAAACATCTGTGCATCATAGCGGCTTTGTTTCACATCATATCCCGCCGTGGGAAATAATAAAAGACAGCAAATAAAAAGCTAACAATCTTCAGTTTTACTCAAAACTTGGTGATTTGACCTTAGTCGAAGTAGTTAGGGTGCTAGACCTACTGATCCTTACCGATCGGTGCCTATCCGCCTTTGTGAGTAACCGTAATTTGGCCACTGATACCGAGTGCAATCCACCACATCATCGATCGCGTAGTCGGTGACGACTGCGGCAACTTTCGTCATGGGCTGGCCGACGGGGCGTCACTACCACCAACGACAAGACACCATGCGATCGGCTCATTTATCCACTTTCTTACTTGTTTTTAGTCCAATTTAAGAAACCGTTTCATACTAGATCATGACTGCTTTCGCATATTATAGGTTTAGGAATAGGATGACGGAAAAACCTTCTGGGAAGACAAAATTTGTGAACGTGTGTATGCTTGTATGTATGCTTCTATGTAATGTTTGTGTATGTACATGCATACGTACGTACGCATGTATGTATATGTATGAATTGCATGTATGTATGTATGTATGTATGTGTGTATGTACGTATGTAGGTATGTATGTATGTATGTCTGGATTACTATATAGTGTATATAAGAATACGTCTGTGTGCTTTCGTCTATCACATACATTTCAGTGTAAACACTCTTGGCTTATTGGCCGATATTATCATTCTTAAGTGTTGGTTTGGACTTACAGTATAAGTTCTATTGTGCGATCTGACCATTCGATTTCGTATTAATCATTGTGTAATATTGTTGCTCTTCGCTTTTCGTTTTGCAACGATTCAACAGCGAGTCCATGAATGTTCAACATTATATTGTTGTTCCATTTTTTTTCTTTTTCCTTTTTTTTCGTCGAAACGTAAATATTTCCTTTTCTGAAATGCGGCTTGCGTCGGGACACTCACTTGTGTTGCTTGGGATTTTCTTCTAGTCCTTCGACTTGTTCTTGTCAAGCACTTAACGATTGTTCAAGCATATTCGCTGTTTAGAAAATCGTTACTAAGTAACGAATTAGTCGTGTATTAGGTCACTTTACCGAAGTAGCCAACTTTTCGGATGGTCTTTGTTTGTTTATAATCCATGAAGTCAAATCCGTACGTTGTTATTTTACGTTGTCGCGTTACAATCTTTTAGGCTTTTAAGAAACAGCAGAGCCGCTGTAGGGTTGAAATCGCCATCAGCGATTCCTCTTCTTCTTCTTCTTCTTCTTCTTCTTCTTCTTCTTCTTCTTCTTCTTCTTCTTCTTCTTCTTTCACCAGTTGCTGCGGTTAGTGCGCGTTATTCGTCTCTAAATTTCATAGTAGTGTCCTAGGAAAACAACATGACATTGTTGTTGGGTCCATGCAACCCCGATGGACAACGTTTTTTGTTCTATCCGACAATGTTCGAAACCGTGCGCGCTCTTGTCGTCACAATTCAGCGCCGTATTTTTTTTCATATGCGCTTTTTCGGACACGATCGAGCTCCGCGTTGCAGTTTTGAACGCAACGCTCTTTCTGGCTTTTTTTTTTGCCTGAGAATGGCATAATTAGTGCTGTCAGGTTAATTGTGGTGTGTATTTGTAGCTGTTGGTGAAGTCCGTTCAGGAAGGCGAATACTTAGGTAATGATGGTGAGACGACGAATGCGTTGGATGCCAGCCAGTGATTAATGGGTGGCCCAAGCGATTGGCCGCCGTCGCGTCGTTCGCGACCACCACACACACAATCAGGGCCGCCGACCACCGCCGTGCTTCTCATGGTGTCGCTGTGTGCGATACTGCAGTACTGGCGAATTCGTCGCAATTCCGGATTGACGCCAACGAGGAGGAATCGTGGAACCCATTGCATCGCTAGAACTTTATCCTCGACTCTCATTTGTTCCTGCATCCGTTCTCAGCCCCACAATCGATCTTCGCTAGTCTCGCGATTGAGATAGCAGTGAGAAAACTGAGACCACTCAGTTTATCATAACTGGTAATGACCATCGGTACTCGTTCTAATCTAATTGAGATTGTATGTGTACTATGAATATTTGGGCCTTGTATGACGCATGTTGGGATACGTGTCCTTCTTTCCCAAACATTAAGTGAACAATGAAATTTCATAGTGCCGTTAGTACAACTCTGTAGTTCTAAACACACATGAATTTTGCTTTGTTCTTAGATTTTTTTAATTGCTTTAGGTTGGGGAAGCATTCTTTTGCCGTTCGTCAAGTTGTAACTGTTAGAACTAATCATATCAGAGAACAACAAGTTACGAATTACTGTACTCCTACCCCAGCTTAGGAGTTTCTACATTCTCTCGTTCTCTTGATTACTTTTCGCGTTCTCTTGATCTCATCGGCAATCATTTTCTTTCCAGTACAGGTTACTTTTATAGGTTCAGCTCATGTGAAGTTCTGTCTCTTGTTAGCGCTTCATGAGAACTCCTCGTCCAAACACTAAGTTTTCTGTTTTTCAGTGGAAGTTTTGGCTTCACATCTGTGTTATGGCAACTACTTATGTATCATAGTCGTTCAAAGTTGGGTTACACCACAGAGTTAAAAGTTATACTTAGCCCTGTTCCGATCGTGTTAGAATTGCCTCTTAGGCGTCTGTATGCACATTTTCAAAGTTTTACATTTCGTCTGTGAGATTTCAATTTTTAGTGAATAGAAAGGCAGTGTTTGGTTACTTTTGTCAATATCGACAAACCTTCGTTATCCCATTTTAATCCGTAATAGCTAGTGTGCTCGGTGTATGGGATATGCGTTTTTTTTCGAACATTTTTCTCGAGGTTATTATCACGACGTCGCCTAACCTCATCAAACAAAGCATTCTGATGTTACGACGATCGTAGCATGTTTTCGTTAACTCTCGTTATTCTCGATTCTTTTCTCGTCGTCGTTCACTAGAGAAGAAGTGTGCCCCTGACCGTCAGTGCCTTTTCAGCTGTCGTTTGCTTGTTTTCCGCTAGTCGTCATCGGCGGCGCTTTCCGGAACGACGATGCGCGGCGTCGCTTCCTCCTACGATGACAAGCCGCCTCCTCCACCGCTACGATTTAGTAGCGGCGGATCGGGCACCGCTAAGGAGCAGTCGGTGGGTGCTGTTTCAAGAAAAATTTTGCTTACAATATTTTACACTTAAATCTATTGTCGAATGTGCGCAGTGTATCAGTACAAAACACGAAATCTGATTGTTGTTGTTGTTGTTTTAAGAGTTCATTGTTACTTTTTCTTCTGTATGTGGTTTAACTTGAAATCTGTCGTTGTGCCCACATTTTAGAAACAGTAGTTTTAAAAATAGCTCGGCAGATACCTGATTCAGTTGAAATGTGTAGTATATTCTATCTGTCCATGTATCCATACGTCAGGTTATTATCGTTGAATGTGAAAGAATAGTAGAATTTTAAAATAAGTGGAGGTGAATATTTAATTGGGTACTTGAACTTCTTTAAATGTAGTGGTTTTGTGGAAAGGAACACGTATCTGCATTCATTGCAGCATTATATAGATTACCAGTTATTGTTTGAACCAAGTAAAATAGTTTTGTTTAGGTCGTTGGTTTAAAACCGTTACCGAAAGAACCATTGGATTCTGGTAAAAAGAAGAAAAGTATGACGAATCCGTTCGTTAAGAGTGAGGTTTTAAGTAATTTCGCCGAATTTTTTTTGTTAATTCTAAATGTCATATAGTTCAGTGTTTGATCAACCAGTAGAAGAATTCTTACTTGTTAATATCACGAAGTAGGTGCTTCTATATTGTCCTTACTTTCGTTCTTTTTTTTGTTTTTTGTACAAGAGAAAGTACTACTGCCTTTCAGAGAATCGAGAGAAAAAGGACACACCGGAAAAGCCGGTAATATCGGAACCAAGTAATTTCGAACATACTGTTCATGTTGGTTACGACCCTTCCACGGGTGAATTTACGGTTAGTGGTAGTTTCGCTTCAGATTTTATCAGCTATCAGTGCGGTTATTCTCTTTATAGTTCTCGGTCTGAGAGGGTGGTGAGAAGGTTTTACCGATCTACTTTTGTAACGAAATTTACTGGGCAGCAAATAAAAAGGAAACATTGTGATTTCGACTACAGACTCAGCTTAACTGGGTTCAATGCCGATTTGTGCTCCCCGGATCAATCCCGTTGATGGATGTTTTGTTCGTGGCACTGGGGTAGATAGAAAACTAGTTGTGAGAAAGGCGAAACGAAGAACCTGCAATGTGTGGTGGTGAGCGCGTTCGTTCCTCAAGTTCGCAGACACTTGCGGTCCGAAGTTTTGCAGATTTCTCAGCAACATTGTGGTTGTATACTGTTCCCGTCCGTTTTTTCATTTACAGTTACGAATTCTATTTGTTAATTAGCCATTTGTTCTACGACCACTTGCTTTTATATATAGAAATCCTATGTCTCGCATAGTTGACTTGATTTCATTCCTTGAAGGTTGTTGCATACTGTATTGTTTTTCGTTAAGTGCTACAGTAGTCTGAAAAAAGATCGCCTTAAGTACGCAAAGTTTTTAAGATTTATTTTTGCGTAATAATCTCTATTTCTTCAGCAGTGATGGTAAATTGGTTTCGTAGTTTTTTATAATCGAAGGAGTGAGATAAAGTACCATATCATCTTAAGGTTTTTGCTCTATGCAGCAAAAATTGTTCCATTATGCATGTCTTTGTGCTTTAGATAAAAAAATAAGAGGGCTGATGAATTTCTGATGATTAAATAATTCTTTTTATTCCTGTTGAGCAAGCACGAGGTGTTACCTTATCCTCTATTTACGAACAAGCTGACGTTTCGACGGATTTCACCTTGCTCAAAGCTTTAAAGGGTCAAGTTGACCGCAATCGACCAAACCATACACCAGGAGGTAACGGAACAGAGGAAATTCTAAAATGTTGATGATGGATTTAAAGGTATAAAAATAAAGCTCTCGGCGTTGATCAATCCCTGAGGAATGCGCCATGCATTCGACTTCATTAAGTATCGTTAGAGGTGATTGAATGTATATCTGGCCTTTACAATGACTCGTGGAGGCCTACCGATGTATTGAGCAGGTGCTGCTATCCTCCCAGACAAGTCTGGTACCAATTTGCCGACCGCGGAGGGATCGAAGGCTTGGTGGGCCATGGGCGCGGGGATCGATTCCATTTGTGTGCCACAGTGGCGCCTCTAACCACTGCGCCACATGCGCCAATTCAAGGATATTAGACCTATTATGTGTATAGTTTATTTCTCTTTTTACTTTTTTTAAGTCGCTGCATTTAAAATTAAGCAATTATTCTAAACTCGTGACATAACATTGAAGGAGGTCTACGAACTGAGATGAATTTGCCGGTATCAGTGGTCTACTCAGAAAATCGAATAACATCTGTTACGTTTTTTGTATATGGGAAAGGTTTATGATTTTGGTGATTAATTGTGTTTTCAGAGGGGATGCTAACTTATGGATATGGTTATTTAGGAGTAAATGTTTATGAATGTTTATTTTTCTTAATGGCCGCGTTTAAGTAGTGGTCATGGTTAACGAATTTGTGTTTAGGAAGTTCTCAGTCATTGAACGAACTGGAACCTACAGCAATATCTGTCTGGTTCTTTCTTAATGTTTCTATTATGCAGGTTGAAATGTTGCGGCGGTTGAAATGTGTTCCTAGCGCTCGTCTTTAGTGTCTTTAAAGATCTTGACTTTTCTCATTTTCATCTTTTATGTGGTCTTTATCAACATATTCAATTCAATTCGCACTAGAGATTCGTAGAATCTAACGTTCTAAATCTCAATTTATTGAGTTGTGTGCAGCAGTTGTGTTGTATTACACTAGCGCAGAATTGCATTCTGACTCCCGTCGTCCGTCTCAAATAAACATCTTGTTGTGTAGAATGAACTTCATACATTTTAACTAATTTATAAAATTCTTTATATTAAACTCATATTAAGTAGGTGTTATACTAGTAAATGAATCGCTTACTTTTGTAGGGCGACGTAATATACGCTTAAAATCGTTTTATAATTCAGGGTATGCCATCGGCATGGGCACGTTTATTAATGGAATCGCAAATCTCAAAGCAAGAACAACAACAAAATCCGCAAGCAGTTCTTGATGCGCTAAAGTACTATACACAAGGCGAGAATGGCTCACAACAAAAGTGGCTGCAATATGATATGAGTGAGTGTTTCGCCAGGAAATTAGTTCTGCTTGTTATATTCGTTTCCAATCTTTTTTCTTGACATTATCTGTCCATAGTATGTACCCCTGTACATAAGGGTCTTTATCTTCTACGTTAGACGAACTAGCTAGTATTGGATCACAAAGCAATCACTTGTTATTTACTGCCTATTCTTTTTCATGATAGGGCATGATGTGAAAGACAACCGCAATGATGTTGAGGTTTCTGCAAAACTCCGGACCACAGGTGTCTGCGACGGAGATCGAACCTCGTTATTACCCTTTCCGGGGGCGAACGTGCCCACCACCATACCATGCTTGTCCTTCGTTTCACTTTTCTTTCTCAGCCTTAGGAAAAAAGAATAGGCAGTGAATGAAAAGTGATTACATTGTGATTTATACTGCAGCTTCAGCTTAACTGGGTTTAATACCGATTTGTGCTCGCTACAATCCCGTTGATGGGTGATTGCTGATAGTGCTTATAAAACACGGCTGAGAGAAGTGCTAAACAAGGGACACGCATGTGTAGTGATGAACACGTTGGTCGCCTGAAAAGGTAATGACTAAGTTCGATTCACGCCACAGACACCTGCGGTCCATAGTTTAGCAAATTTCTCAGCATCATTGTAGTATCGGATCATTCATCAAAATTTGTTTACTTACCAAAAATAACCGTGAATAGCTCATGCTATTCGTTTATACCTACTAGTGTTTCCGTTTACAATAGTAGTGGAATGTTAACGCGTAGACTGTTCAGATAGCATACCTTGTGTGAAGTTGTGTAACACTGTTTAGCGATATTCTGCAGTTGTCAGAATTATTACTAAGTCATGGTTTATAAACAGTGGTTAGTTTTTCTTTTGTAAAAACAAAACTCTTCATGGAACTCTGAACTCACTATTATTCGTTAAGTTTCCTTGTCATTTTTCTTTGAAAAAAGTATAGATGATAAGAAACACTGTCGTTGTTTGCTTGGAAACTTCGTCGGCCGTCTTCACTGGTTGTGCAGGCCTCAGTCTATTTTCCACTTTTTTTGGAGTTTTCCTGGTTTAGCCATTGTGATTCCCTGGAGTCCCGAGGTCAACCTAGCCAAAGTATGCCCCAGCAGGTCGTCACCACCACAAGCAGTCGCCGCCTCTGTGGACCAGAGGAAGATTCGCCACCATGCGACTAGTTTGATACTAGGGCGGTGGTAGACCCTGGTGTTGGTTTACTCTTAGCTGAGCTTCCTGATGGAAACGCTGGACTCCTCAGCTTGGGAGATCCTGCGGGGGAACATATACGCCGGTCTACATCATCTGGGAACACCTAGCCTCGATGAGGCGGTACACAGTTCAAGGGTCGAACATCAGTTGTTCCATATTGGAACGAAATGTTTTTTTCCTATAAAGCTTAAATTTCTGTATTTTCATTCTCTGAAAAGCGAACACGAGGTCGTTACGGAAATTTTTTCGGCTAACATTAAACGCCTTCGCCGTCATCAGAGCCGGTTTCATGCTAATCGTTTTTCCATAGCCGGTCATTCTTGCGGTGTGAGTCCTCGTAATCGCATCGAGTCGAATCCAGTGGAGTGGAGCACCGCACGCATGAATTAATAGCACTCGGTTGAATGAAGTTCGGTTTTGTCAAAAATATTGCTTCTCTTTGTGCCTGATAACACAATACCGACTGTTGCGGTATGGATTGTTCGGAGAAAACAAATCGTTATCAACGCACTGTCAATCAATCAACAACTGTCCTTTATTAACGATCACTACTTAGCGAGTTTACTTCATTCGGCGAAGAAAAAATTTTACTCGGTATGAACACGAAAACACATCGAAGGGACGAGTGGGCATGAGTTATATGCTCGGATCAGTTCCCCTGTAGAAATAACGAAGGCGAAGGCACTGAAAAGTTAGCCGAATTAATTCTTGCAACAATCTCGGGTTAGCTTACCAATGAATATAATTGTATTTATCCGAGTTTATACCGAGGTTAAGCAAAATATAGTTTGCAGAAATGACCACAAATCCATTTTTCAGATGATTGCTCGCCACGGCCATCTACAGGTGCGTCTATCGGGCTTAAGACTTTAGGCTACAGCACCTCTTCATTGCCTCATCACTACTCGGATTCTAACCAATTTCATATCCATACTGCTCAGCCAGTGTTTTCTGGTGTGATCTTTTTGTTTTACTTATGGGATTTTAGGTACTTTTCAAAATGGTATTAGCTACGATTACCAATTTCAATTACCAGTAAGTTAGTTAGAACTCTGTTATAATTGCAGTACTTTTTAAAATCGCGTTCATTTAACATTTAATGGGGTTTTTTTCGCATATGGTCTAAAGTTCATGCCACTGGAGAATCGGATCTTCATGATTGGTCCTATTATTTATATTACTGACATAATCCTCTTAACAACGTATTTGCTGGAGTGTTTTATTTTAATTTCAGGGTCAAATATTGAGTTGAAAAGCTCCCAAAAACAACTAGCTCCACTTCCAAAATCATCGAGTAATGCTATCAAGCCATCTATGACACAGGGCTATAGCAATGTGAACGAGAACCGGACGAGCATGCCACCGGTATGTTTTCCACTGTTAAAACCTAAAGGATATTATCTAACTCACTTTCCGTTTAGTCTCTTTATCTTTGAAATCATCATTTTCGATGCTATTGGCGGTTTCTCTAGAGTTATGCTCCTCCACCTGTGCCAGAGGATGAGGATCCTGCTGATTGTGTGCCACCACCGATTCCTGATCGCCCTGCTAGAACGCTGAGCATTGTATGCATACACGATATGTTTGGTGGTCTTTTATACTGTTTAGCAAGATCGAATTTGTAGCCTGGCAATACCTATTCTTTCCTTCGTTCTAGTATACAAAACCAAAGGAGGAGGAGGAACGCATCCCAGACTTGTCTCAAGGACAGTTTGGAGTACAGTCAAGAGGAGTTACAAAAGGAAAAAGGAAGATGACTGATGCTGAGGTACTTTCTTTGTTGACTATCCTCATATAGCAAGGCATAGCGTAGTCAAATGCGATAATATGAGATGGACGTGTGTAAAATGAGATGGCTTTACAATATTATCAGAATATTTCAGGTTTTAACGAAGTTAAGGTCTATTGTAACGATAGGGAATCCTGACAAAAAGTACAGGAAAATCGACAAAATCGGTTCAGGGTGGGTTCGTTTCACTTGGAAGGTATTTGTTACTACTTATTACTCCATGTTAAGAGGTCATAGTGGGTCTGATATGTACTTTTCATGAGACATTTTTAAATGTCGATGGATACTGCAAAATGATTTCTTATATGCGTATTTTATATGCATTTATATACATGCATTCATTTGCTAACTCTATGTATATATGTAACGTATATGTGTATATATTTACGTATACTATATAT